TGATCGTAGCGGGAATGCTACGGCCAGCCTGTTCTACTGAGGCTTATTACTCTGCTTCACGTGCCTTTTTTAAAGCACCTCAAGGCAGCAATCTTAAGAGTTGGCCCACCCAGACAAGGAAAAAGCTTGCTGTCTAAATGCATGCCATAAGGAAAAAACTGACAGGCAGCAGAGAGAGCATTTTTTCTAGCTCTCCTCTCTCTAAGCAGCTGGTCAAGAATCTTTGGGGCAAACTGAGGGAAGATTTGATGGAGCGTTACAGAAGACGACAAAAGAATTTGAGCAATAAGCCACACAAAGCAGAGAAATTTGAATGGGAAGTATTCTTTACCAATCCCAGAAAACATCTCTGATTAAAAGTGAAGTGATTCCCAGTGTCAGATGTCTAAATATTCCAGTACTACTGAAAATCAACTTTGAACTGGCATTACACAGAATAAACAGTACCACTACTGTTACTTGGCACAGTGAGAAACAGGTATGTCATCCTTACAGGCACAGGTAAGTAAAGGTATAAATATGAAATAATGTAAATTTAAAATATAGCCTATACCATTTTTTCCCCTATACATTATATCAAGAACCAACTCAGGATGCATAAGATCATGTTTCCTAATGAACATGCTCTCTTCTCAGAGAAGGTAATTTCCATTTCTCAACAGAAACATCACATTTATATAATTATAAAACCTGTACGCCTCAAATCATTTGCCCGTCTCATGACAAGCCAGCACTACACCTTTTTCTATTAACTATGCATACACTTAAAATGCAAAGCATGCCTAAAAAGACAATTTCCAGTACGTCAAGATATAAGTGATCCCACATCTGTACCAGAGCACACAATATGAAAACAGATCTTGTAAACAGCTTTGAGCACAAAGTTTCTCAGCAGCACTACACCCATTCGGTATATTGCACAATACTAACACAATTCAGCTAGAGTTCTCAAGTTCTAGTAAGCTGGAAGTAAAAAAATCATCTCACTTACTTCATCTAAAAGAGGCTGAATTTCTGCTAAGGGATTGTAAGGTATAAATATGAGAAGCGCTGGTCCTTTCTTCAACTCATTGTTTAGAAGAAGGCTTTTTCCACCATGCGGTCTCAGCCAGCGTATGAGCACCTCCCGATTTTCTAGAGCCCATTTGCAAATGTTCTCAGCTGTATAGTTCATGACGTCATTTGGATAAATCTTGAAAGGTGAAAAAGTAATTGTTTGTCTTCACTTACTTAAATATACTGTTTACTACTGAATGCAGTTATTACATCCCGCATATTTTGTTAATGCAATGCCTAAAACTCTTTTTAATTTAACGACACTATTCCAGTGAGCTTCAGGCTGTCATGTATCCTTCCCCCTTGGGAAAGGGGGATAAAAATGCACACTATTCAAAGAAAACCAGAAGTTCGCAAGCATTCTGCAGTCTAGTACTTAACAGCTTCGTGAATGCTGCTGTGGAACACTGTCACTTACTACATTTGCCCAGGGCCTACTACAACAGAGCTTCAGTACTCACGTATTGTCTCAAAGTTACTGCAATATAAATAAAACACTCACAAGAGACACGTTCACATGTCTGTGCAAATACACGCTGCCTGAATGCACCAATGAGATCTCCTCCGCAACATGTTTATCCGTGATCACCCCAAAGCGTATAGTTCCAAGGTAATCTGAAAGAGCAAATTTCCAGTTTTTAATGCAATTGTACACACTGTACTTCTTCCCTGAAAGCCTTATAAGAATAGGGATCTTATTTTTCAAATGGTACTGAGAAACTAAATGTAACAATACCATCTGCTCATGGTACACCTTCAAACCAATACCTAGAACCAGGCTGCGTGAACGTATAGAAACCTTACTAAAATAGCAACTGCCAGCACTGCTGGTGAATGAAGCGAGGTAGAAGAAGAAAGGGGACGAGAGCAGACAAGGAAAGCAAACATGTTCCTCTTCTTCACTCAAGTGTAGAGAATGGTAACGTGGATTGTCCAATTTCTTAACTCTGCTATTAAATACAGAATGTGGTATCTCATATGCATCTTGCTACGTGTTATAGCATCTCTAAAAACAAGATAAAACAAATGTAAGAAAAAGGTACTAACATAAAAATGTGCTAATCTTAAATTTAAGTAATTTTTCTACTGACATATCCAGGATTTCTGACCAAAAAAAAAAAAAAAATCTGTCAGCATAAAATTAACATTCTGAAAATAATGAGGATCATAAACTTTTTCAGTAGGTTTGGGTGTTTTTGTGGAACTCCATTAGAAGAGAAACCAGCAGCTCTTTTCTGCTTAACAGAGGTTTTTTTGTTTTTTTTTTTATAAACAATGTATAGCAGGGTACTATGACATCTGCAACTTATGCAAGATAATTTATTTCAAAAAACCTGAGAAAGTTTTGCACACAAATTCATGGCAGCCATGAGGGTCTGCAAGTACATTCAGTGAAGTTTAAAATACATAGCCTCTGAAAAGAAAAGTAAGACTATTAAGAATAGTGCACATTATACCATCACACTGTAAGATCAGATTAAAAAGCACAGTATGTTAGACCTTATTAGTATTTTGATGTCATGAAACAAAGCTCAGTAAGGTACAGAAAATGTCAAAAGAACAACTTCCTGCGTAGTAGCACATCATGGAGAACATTTTCTTCTGAACATGGAAAACACAAATTCTCACTAAACTGAACTGAAAAGTGTTGTTTAAATAGGGAAGCAATCCAGAAACGCATTCAGCTCTCCAGCCTCAAAGGAGGACAATGCTTGCTTAGCACTTTAAGGCAGAGTAAGATCAAATCTCATGTAATTAGCTACTTACAAAAGCAGACATAACCTATGTTCGGAGATTACTATCAATAGTACTAATGTGTTTGCATACTTACCACCCAGAGACACTACTATCAGCAGCATGTAGGTGATTAGTATGTAGGTGGCAAGAGTGAGAGAACTGCAGCTGCTACTACTTGTCATCAATTATCTGTATTTCACAAAAGAAACAGTCCACTACAGTCTCTGACACTACAAAAGCCAGAAGTTGGAAATACTCAGTAGGGTAGCTAAACACACTGGCACACACACAGTAAGAAATTACTCCACCCTAATTAATTGCCAGGCGACCTTTTGTAGCTTTTAAAAATGCTACTACACTGAGAAACTGATTTAATACATATATATTTCAGAAAATATATATTTGGAATAATAAAGCTGAGTAATCTGCCTCAGTTTATTAATCAGCCAAATGGGTATAACAATACTACTTCCCACCGACAGTTATTGAAATATAAATACTTTTTAGGAGCACCTCTAAGTTTTGCATAGAACATTTAGTGCACAATGTTGATATTATAAAAACTGCATATAACAATCCAAAATAAAGGCTTTTCAATAAAAAAGCTATGAAAATTACATATATCATGTTAAGCACAATCATTTTATTAAGATAATGTATTTTGGTGTATGTGCATAAACTAAGAAGTACACCTTTTAGCTGAGGGGATTTTACTGAGACCATTACTACATTTCTTAAACACTCCCATGTGTTGTATAGGAGACATCACTTACATTCTATCACTAAAGCAAAGAAAAATATAAAATGACCCCAAGGGCCCAATGACTATTGTTTGCTGCTTGTTATGTGTAAAAGCTAAGGTAAAAAAAGAATAAAATAAGTCAAAATGTAACTGAAACTAGTAAGTTATTAACATGCAAACTTTGTATATTTAAACACAAGAGTTGTTAGATTTTAGATTATTAATGCAAAACAATAGGAAAAAATCCCTTCTCATTAAGCTATCTTCTACCAGCTCTTTAACTCCATGCAGGAAAGCATTTCATTGCTGATGCTGAATTCTGTTGCTCAAGTCTAGACTGAAAGTCAAGTTCATCCTATCGCCTCTGAATCTAACATTTCAGACGTTGCCCCAGACAAATACCCTTGGATTCAATTTAAATAAACGCTAATTTGATTATGGCTATATACAGATTGCAGCTACACTTTCAGCTTACAGATGAAAGTGTATTTTAATGCATCTTTGAACAGAACCCTGCCATACATTTCATTGCATGATGGCTGATTACAAAATAGACAATAAACCTCTTACGTAAGCAATCCTCACTTTTTCCATCACTGAAAAGACAAGACAACTTCATAATTAGATTGACATTAAGAAACACACTCAAAAGTCACTCCCTAATTACAGAATATCACAAACAACTGAACCTATTTACATGAATTGTTCACAGATGGCCTCAATTTTGAAGATGATGCTTTTACCTTTCTTTAATGAATGTAACGCTGATGTGAAGAACGTTAGGTAACCAGGAGGCTGAGGTGAAGCATTGAACTCAAAATATCCCAGAACTCCAGGCTGAAAAAATAAGAATTAGAGTTGGCACAGTTATTTTCAAATATAAATATATGGAACATTGTGATCACTTGCCTACAGTACAACATAGACTAAATACTGTTGTTTTGTTGTCTTTGTTAAAAGAAAAAGAGTCATTTTATGCTGCAAGAAAAAAAGTGTAACATTGAAGAGAATGAAAATCTGTTCTAATGCTGTAATTCAAAACCACATGTATCACGAGAGCGCGCTTTTACGGCTGTGGAGGCATTAGTTGCAAGCTGCACAGTTCCCACATTAGGTATTACAGTCCTCCAAAAACAATATTTGCTTTGAAATTACTTTATGAGTCAGTTGCAGCACCACCATAAGAACCAAAAGCACCATAAAGTCATCTTTCGAAATATGGAATATGATTTGTAAGAATATTAACAAACTTAACAGTAACATCTTAATTTTTACTGTGCTGCACATAATCAGCAACTACAGATGCATTCACACATTTTGTGAGCCAATACTTGCACCGCTAAGCCACCTTATGTGACCAAACAACCCCTACAGCACAGGAAGGCTCAGAGGGCAAGGTGCCCCATGAATCTCAAGGACAGTGTAGGATGCGGCTCACTAACCGCAGCTGTTGCGCAGAGAACCAACATTATCCCCAGACCAGAGGGTGGCTTTCGTCTTAGATAAGCAGCCATATCTGTTACCTGGACCTGGGGTAAGTGTTTCTTCCTGAGCTGACCAAAGGGATGTGGATGTCTCCCCGAGATTAGCCAGATTCAGCATGGGGACAGTGTATATGTGGCTCAGCCCAACAGAGTATAAAACCACAACAACCAACAAAGAAATTTCGAAGAGAGCAATGAACTTTAGCTGGCTTCAACCCACGTATTCCTTCCCGGCGACTGGGGTCGCCCAGCGTCGTGACGGTGAGCATATTTGAGACTGGTAATGGCAATCACATTGGTATTGTGATTGAACTGTCTAGCTAGATTTTTGCTAAGTGTATACACTTGTATTGTGATACACTTGAACTGTTCTTTCAGTATATTGCTGAATCACTGTTAAACCAAAATCCCCTGTAACATAAAATTCCCTTAAAAAACTTTTATATTAAACATTGCACTCTCCGTATGCGTTGAATATCTAAAAGAATCCGGCTAGAGAGTACCAGACTCTGATACCTTATCATCCCACCATCAAGCTATCGGTCACGGTAAACTCTTTCAGTGTGGGCTGCAGAAGTCAGTGGGAAACCAACTGCCCAAAAATAATGAAAGAACACCATATCCCACCTGCATATCCATAAAGAAAAGAAGTTCTTCAAATGGCAAAACAGTCAATTCAAAAATCTCAAAGACTCATCATTTCTAAATAGGCCTACTCCCTTTGCCGGCTATGAAGCCTGAATAGTGTCCTGTTAAAATCAGGAAGGGAACCTGGGAGAAGCTGACTTGGAACCAACAATTGCATAGTCTTAAACTTCTCTTGTTCCAAAATTAGAACAAAGTTTTAGAATTAAATTCTGCAAAACACAATCCATTAAAAATTTGTACTCACCACTCATATCAGTTTACTAGACTTTCAGGACAGATTCAGTGGTGGAACTTGGCTATTGCGCTCTCTGAATCACGGTTGCACCAGTGCGTACACGGAGAGCGCGATACACAAAACAAGGGCACTCTCAGGACTGCTGCAGATTGGACGATTCCAGGCTCACTCATCACCCATTTATGCGGCAAATACATTCCCATGTAAGTGTTCACATTTGGTTCTTTCAGAAGCTACTCTAATTTTTGTCGAGTTTTACTTACAAAAAACTAAGTTTATTTTTTAAACGTGAATATATATTTTATCTGTTACTACTACAAAACTTCCTCTGACTTTTACCTTAGGCGATATGCTCCTAAAATGTTCACCAATAGAAGCGTTCCCCATCTCATCTAATAATCTGCCCTCTTAGGAAGGAATTATCTTTTGTTAAAGAATGCTGAATGCAAGACTCTTGTTCATAAAGACTCTTTAAGAGGTACCACAAGAAAAATATCTATGATAAAAATCAGGTACAAGCCATCAGTGAAGTTTCTGCAATAACTGTTTAGGAGGAAATAAGAATATAAAATAAGTTAGAAGTGGAAAATGTAACAAAATAACAGCAATCATTCTTCTTCCTTACATAGTAAAAAAGTTAGCAAAACCATATGGTTCAAAGCATAAGTTTGCTTCACCCAGTTATGGCAGTCAAACCACATGGCACAAACTAGTGAATGAAGGAAGAGTCAAAAGTGAGCAAAATCTAAGAAGCTGCCAAAGGTCAGATTTGCAAATCACATTTATAAAGTTATTTTTAAAAAATACCCTAATGCTCTGATTCTGACCACCCATTCTGTCACACACTATTTGTATCTTAAAATTTCTAATTACTGACTAGAAAAAATAAGGTGCTTCCATGAGACGTTTTGGGAAAATATATTTCTTTAATAAAAATAAAGCGTGGTGGGAGAATTTATACTAATTCTTTATGTCTATTCTATAATCTGGCTAACTTGCTTCCTTTTAACGTTCATCCCAGAACAGCTAAAACGTCTTCCTTTTTACAGGCTACAGTTATACACATGAAGAGAACGTGTCTAAAACGCTGCATTTCTTCCCAAGTACCATGCATCTTTTCCTTTTCTTCTGCTCTCCAAAGAGATTCACTTGTTGATATCAGCTATGTTGCTGATTTTAACAAAACTGAATGCTTTTAGGTGCTAGCAACTAACAGCATGCCTTGCTCAGTATAAGAGAGATTCAAGTCTTACAAAAGAGATGTCTCAACGTAAAGACATTCTTTCTTAATTTTGAATATAAGTATTTTAAGAGGAGCCTGACTGCAGCAACTCCCACTTCTTTTCATGTAAGCGCTTCCAAAACATCCACTCAAGATGTCAGGCACCTGCTTTAGCAGCAACTGCCTGCCTGTGGTTCACACAGTCATCTACCTAAAGGCTGTTATTGATAATTAGCTGCTTCAAGGCAACTATCTGTGTGGCGCTATGGTTAAATAGCTTCACAGGTAGTTAGGAATAATCAAATGAACAGGCTATGACTTGCTGCTATACAAAGTGGGAGTTTACCAGCCTCTGTCCTCAATTCACAGCGGGGAGAACACAGCGGTGGCTTTAAAAACAAAGAAAAGGAAAGAAAAAAAAATCCACACTTGCCCAAAGATGACAGCACCACATGAAAGGCAGTAGGATCCCCTAACAGCATTAAATATTTGCAGGTGGCACAGAGATAGTTTAAGGACAATGTATTAGAAGCACTGGAGTCTGTAGAAAAGGTTTTGGAACAAAACTGAGAATGTCAATAGTGAAAAATCATTAGTACCTAATAAAACTCACTTTATGCAAATGCCAAATTATTAATTGTAGCGCAGCTTATTTCTTTACTTGGTCTCAACACTAGAGGAATGGAAAGTGCCAAGCATCACCAGTTAAATCCAGCAGTAACAGGCTTGATGATGATCTGGACAATTACAGACCAGCAAATCGGTAGAATCTTTAAAAAACAGAGATCTTGACATGAATAAATGTTTTCTTAGAGAACAGTCAGTATGATTTTATTACTAAAGCAGCAAACAATGCCTCAGATCTATTAAAAGTTCTTTGAAGCAATTGGCAGGCATGTAGATGATAGCGAGCTACTCAATGCAGCGTACTGTAATTTCCCACAAAGTTTACAAGAATTTACCAAATGCCCTGAAAGAAACTAAGTGTCAAGGAGCAACAGGAGGTCCTTTTCCAGATTAATAATTACTCAAAAAAAAAAAACAACCCTACAGGTAGAAGTTATTTTTAACAGTCAAAGACAGGCTGCGTCTCATGTAGTTAAATATTTTTGGAAGAGAGCATGAAGGGTGAGAAATAAAATTTGCAAAGGTTCAGGTAACCGTTGAAACTACAGCTGACTAAGAAGAGCTGCAGAAAGACCTCACAATATTAAATGACTATGTGATAAAAGAGCGCTGAGATTTAGATGCCAACGAGTACAAAACACTGAAAACAGGAGAAAAAGATACAGCTACTGATTAGCTGTTACAATTAAACAAATTGCTTTTACTACTCACTTAAGGGATCTCCATCTCAATACCTATCTATTTATTTTTAGGTTTTGGCTGTATCAGGTAAAGGAAATCTTTTTTCAGAATCTGACTTGTGCCGGCAGGCAACTCCTCTTGCGGTCTGAGGACACAGGAGAGAAAACTGCAAGAGGAAAGAAAAACATCATCTCTGGGGGGCAGAAGAGCCAGCGTTAAGTACTGCAAATCCTGTACTGTAACAATGCAAAGAAGGAACTGTGTTGACTCTTCCTAGATGAATTAAATTTAGAAGCAAAAGCCTTCATTTTCTAATGATGTACACAACTACATGTAGCCAGAAACCAAGAGAGAGAAAGAGCAACCCTCAGCTATCCTGTGTCTCAGGAAAGGCAGATGCAAACTATCACCTCCTCACTCACCATGGACACCACAGCACCACACAGAAGAGCAAGCTATTAAATCACATCCACTGCGGGTCAGCTCCTACACAGCTGATCAGGACGCATTTCTGTACAGCTGGAGCAAAAAGGAAAGCTGATACAACAGTGTAAGACACATCCCAATTACATCCCAGAAAGACCACTTCCCCCCACCTCCCCATGCCAGAAAATCCCTGTGCACATTTGTTTGATTTTCATTAGTCAATGAAGACTTTTGTCCAACGAGGAAAGCTGTATGTTCTCTCCTACTGTGCCTTAGAAGGAAGAGGTCATTTCTAAAATAGTCGGGTTAGCGAGACAAGGAATTAGAGATATTAGTTTGGATTAAAATACAAATGTTTCATCTCTGCAATTAAGAACACACAAGTCTTCAGCAAGAATTCTTTCCACAGGGTCTGTGCGCCCCCTTGTGGCATCAAGCACAGCTTCTCACTGCAGTCATGCTTTTACTGATCTACTTCGGCTGAGAAAGGGACACAGCATCATGTAACCAACACCGTTTGCTCTTACTTTCTGCTGGACTCTATTTAGCAACATTTTTAGCAATAGAAACATGCTAATTAAGATCTGAATACAAAGTAAAATACTGCTAGATTTCAGTATCTCTTGATGTGCTTTGACTTTCCAAAAAAAAAAAAAAGCTTTGAAAGTGTAACTTGGTACTTTTACGAGACTTGCTAGCGCAGGCACGCTAACACGGCTCATGGATTTCAGTGTCGGAGTGAGTGGGGGCAGAGCTCCTGATTTTCTTTGCTAGATCCTTTCTCAGTCAAAAGCTGGTAACTGGAATTTGAGCACAAGGTTTAAACATGAAAAGCTTTACAGGTTAGATGGAAAAGGACAACTATGGCCTCAAAGTCCTGGCCGTTAGTAGAAGTAAACTGACAAGCAACAATAAAACGTCCTTGAAACAAGAGAAGTGCTCAGTAACGCTCAGCGTGAAAAGCCATACTCGGCAGAAGTTCGCTCAACTTGTGGCCCTGCATGTGAATCGCTCATCTACTAATAATTTAAAAAGTGCGTGCATACACCAGATTCCACGTAGTGCTATCCCTGGATGGAAACACATAGCAACGAGGACCGAGACTGCCTCCCAAGAGCCAGTGACAGAAAATTACACTGCTACTTGCTCCTTAACATGGGAGACCTTCATACCAAAGTAAACAAAACAGCTGGGGTAGGGAACAAGCAGTGCCTAGCGCAGGTTGCAGAGCAGCTACAGAAAGGTTCATTTCAGCTCACGTTTTCCAACTCAAATGTAAGCACCTTAACCTGAGTTTGTATAACCTGTTCTCTAGCAGAACACAGCAGTGAGAACTGGAGCTGCTGCTGACAAATCTTTCATAAGATACTGAGCTTCAAATTAATGCTTTTCAATGAAGAAACTCCATAAAAAACTGATCAACCAGCAGACAATAGTCAAAACACCTAATGATTAACTATTCCTCCTTTCCCTCCTGGTCAAAATTAACATTTTTGGCATACAAAAGATGAAAATCAAAGCAAGCAACTAGGCAAGAAAATAGGCTGTGAAAATAGCAATTACTATATGATATATGAACATATGATATATGTATCATATATGCATTTCCTGTAACCTACTCCAAAACATTCTGAGATTTCTCAAGCTTTTCCACTTCTTCAGCAGAGCAATAACCCCCTGGATTGTATCTTCTCCTACAAAGCATTTGACGTTCTTTGACTTACATAAGAGACAAGAGTAAAAATGCTCACATGTCTAACTGTTTTAAAACGATGAAACAACAATATTTCTGTCTGAAAACTCTTTCC